TACATGATGGATGACAAAACTATGGAGTCTGCTTGGCCTTGAATGATAGTGTTCAGACCAGCAGGTATACACTGCACAATTTTGTTGCTAGATAGAACAAAGTTAGTTGGGAACGATTAACAGACCAAGGACAATCAGTGATATGATTCTGCTGAAACCAGATACATGTGTAATTCTACTTAGGTTAGAATATGATTTATAAACTACCCCTCCTTCTCAAATGATATGATAGATTTTAGCTAGATCTGTTCATCCACCCAACTCTTTCTGTTTCACTACAGGAATTAGTACTACCATCAGCAGGCAATACAAGGATACACAATTAAAAATAAATCTTTTGTTCCCCCTCCCAATAAGAGGCATTTAATTGCAGCTGCTTGAAACAAAACTTTCCTTGTTCAAAAACCCTTGCCCAGCAGTTCGTCTGTCATGAATAACAGAATTTTATTACGACTGCCATAAAAGTTTTCAGGGATTCACGTGTTACTCTTTCTGTCACCAGAGCTCTCTAGATTTCTAGTGGGAGGTTTAAAAATAAAAGAGATTATACATGTAGTCTTGAAGTGTTTAATCCAAGGATAGAGAAAATATATAAATATTTATGCTTCAAAATTTTATTATTTAAAATTATTCTTGAACATTTCCAGAAAGTCTAAAATGAATGCCTACAGTTGCTGGTTGCAAATTAAGTACAATTATTTTTGTGTTCTGCACTTGAATATAACTCACAGCAAAAGTCATTTAAAGGGGTTAACATCAACCTTAATTAAATATTAAAGTGTGCCTGTACCTGCTGCTATTGTTGCCCTTAGAATAAGATATAACCTATTTTTGACAAGTTTTCATCTTTCTCTGTGGAAGACGCTACATGAAACCAAATCAGTGGCAAAGAGGAGGGTAATGAATAATCTATTTCATATTCCAACACTACCCAGAGCTCTGAGTGGAAAAATATTCAGTCAGATGATAACATGAAGCTGCTGAGATACCAGATGACACAGCTAATGTTTAAATAATGATAATAATAATAATAGATGTAATAATAACAATAATAACATGATAAACAAATCATTAGCCCCGGACATTAGTTTAATGCAATTTGTTAATGAACATAATGGTGGGGACTGATAATGAAAGAAAATAAAAATGTCTAAACAGGCGCCAAGCTGCCAGTGATGCTCAATTATTTCCTTGTCAAGTTTTTATGATTTAATGAGCTCCTCTGGGACTGACGGCTGTCAGTCAGTCGTGACTTTTTGACACCATTACAACTTCAAATACAGCAGCAGGCAGGCTGTTTTCCTCGGATTTGAAATACTGAAATGATCTGACAGGTTTAAAGAAAAGATGTGCAAAAGAGAGAGAGAGAGAGAGAAGGAGGGAGAGAGAGAGGAGAGAGACAGAGTTGCTCTCTCTCTCTCTCTCTCTCTCTCTCTCGCTCTCTCTCTCTCTCTCTCTCTCTTTTTGTGGGACAATCTCAGGGTGCTGTTTGGTAACGAAAACCCAATCACTGAGGTCATTATCTGATGAGGAATTTTTTTAAAGGCACTGGCAAGATTCCCCCCGCCCTTATTTCTCTCCTTAATGACAACCCTCAATGGGTTTGCCCCGCATGGGATGGTCAGAGCCGCACAATTTTGTTCACCATTAATTTCAGTCTTTGAAGCTCCATGCTCTGAAGCAGCAGCAAAGAAAACCCCCCACCAAGCTGGCTGCAAAAATAAGACAATCCAGACTGCCTTAAACAGAATACCAAATGGCCTTGTATCCCCGAGATGGGAACTGACGTCAGTCCAGCTACATTTTTTTGATATTTTCCCCAAATGTAGAGCATTTAAAAACTCTTTAAAACTCAAGCATCTTTATTTAAACTGTTTGATTCTGCCTCAGTACAGAATTAGTGTTTTGCTTTGTGGAATTGTTTAGCAAATAGAAATATACACACTAGAAAATGAAATTAACATTAAGATGTCTTAATTTGGCATAATTCAGCAATAGTTTTGCAGTGTTAGAACCATTTGCTTTTCAGTAGTTATGCTTGCATCCATTTGATGCGTTCATTGGCTGAAGTCATATGGCAGATAAGTTCAGTGGATGTCAGAACCTGTATGGTAGTAGAGATGGCAGGCATAGTTTTCCTGAAGTTGGGTTTAATTGCTGAGGTACTATAGAAGCACCTTACTTAGGGTAACTTTCACAATGACCCTAAGTATTCAGTTGAGGATAAAAGTAACTCTAAGATCTCATTTGAAGAAATGAAAACAGTGACTGCCTAGCTATGGGTGCTTATTTTCTTTCAATCAAGGTTGAACCTGTAAATTCTTCATATACCCATTTCTTCCTGTTAATGAGGGGTTTATTACATAGAAAATATTAAACTATGCCTAGCCAAATCTTCAATTGATGGATGGAACATAGTGTAGGAGTCAATTTATAGTCAGTGCAACTGCTTAGGGAGTGTACAATATGCAGTGGCTTACATACTTTGAAAATAATTTAGAAGAAGTGCTCCAGGCCAAGCAGGAGCACAGCACCTCTGTGCTATTCAATAAGCAGCCTGATTTTTTTTTCTCAGGCTATAGTAGAGGTCTGAAAAACCTGTACTGCATAAATGTCACATTAAAGCAGTGGCATCTTTTCGTGGTTGTATAGAAACCCAGGCTGCTTTAATGAACAGCAAAGGAGTGCTGTATTTACATTCAGTCTGACTCACTTTCTAACCATGTGATGCCTAAGCATGTAATCTACATCTGATATCTAAAGTGAGGTATACTTGAGTGAATGAGGTTTTTCTTTGTGGGTTTACATAAAACACATGACTTTATCATGTATTCATTAGTTTGGGTGAAACAGAGCATCAGTAAATAATTAGGTATGTTAAATTTTTGGATTCATCCTACATATTCTTAGGATAAATTCATACATAAACTGTTTATGACTTCTGTAAGATGTTTAGAAATCAGCACATCTAAACACATCACAGAAGGTCTATATTTTGAGGCCTTGGCTTGATTATCAGATCATCAAACACAATAATATTACTGTGACAAATTTGTTTTATGAAGCCTATGGAGTATAACTGATTAGCAAAGATATAAATAGTTGGAATTTAAAAGTGCTGAGAGTTTTTAAAATAAATGCTCAGGACTATTTTGCATTTCTACAGGGGACTGTTATAGTTACCGTACATTTTTTAAATAAGACAGAATAAATCTTTTTGGAAAAAAGTTCTAGCTAAATGTACCAGGATTAAGTGCAGATTTCACCACTGGCATTAAGAGGCAGAAAAATGACAAGCAATAACAAATAGCCTGTAAACACAATTTAATATATTTTCTTTGAACTTTATATTTACAGTAGCTGTTTTCAGAACAAAGGATTTGTGAAAATGTACATCTTCTGACCTGCTTTGATACATACTTTTAACACTGGAAAGCATCTGCTTCATCCCCTTTTGCCCAGAATCCATGAACTCAGCCCTTCCCTATTATTAAGAAGGTAAAAGCTATCGTTCTGTTTACACAACTTAAATGATTTATCTGAAGACATACATGCCCTAACCCTTTTCCATAAACAACATTTCTCTTGTGAATCTCTTCATCTTGAATTTCTTTACTAAGCTACACTAGTTTTATTTGACTCAGCTACATCAACATAAAATTCATTCAGTTCTTTGTTTCTTGGTATAGTAAACATGTTTAGGGCCAAATTCCATTCCAGAGTGTTTGAACAAGGATATCATGGAAGTGTTCTTTTAAATACTAGGTAGAATAAAGCTATTAGATTTTGTGCCTCTGTAATATGGTTTAGTTTGTTCCATAACAATTTTAAATCTTTGAAAATAAATATGGAACTTCAAATGTTATCATGAAAACTTCCTGCTTGCCCAATGAATTCAAGGAACATTGGAAAATACAGTTTCCATAATTCCCAACATTCAGGGAAATTGGGAACCAAATAAAGTAAATTCACTAGTAAGTGTGGATACTATGTAATATGTTCACAGATGGTGGGCTGGACAATCATTAGGGGCAGTGGAGGAAGCTGCTTATTTGAATTACATGGATGAGTAGGGGAAAATCACATAAAATTCAGTTTTAACACTAGATTGTATTTCCAGTTATGTCTAATGGATGGTGTGAATGTGTGTGAGACTGTAGAGCTTATCCATTATTTCATATATATTAAATGTGCACAAACATAAAAACGCTTTTCACATAATACTAAATACAGTAATAGGAGTGTTCAAGCAATATGTGTGTTCATTGAAAATATGATTTTGAGGTCATCCTATCTGAACTATCTAGTTTATGCAGGAATATTGAACAATATTCCTGCATAGACTAGACAGTAAACTTGCCATGTGGCTATACAAAGCCATGGCAAGTTTATAAGGTTGAGGACTTGACTTACAATGCAGTATCCAAATACAGATGATGTAAATCGGGTTGGAGATAAGAGGGTAAAATCATTATCAAAACAAGGCTAAGGGGAGATAAGTGAAATCTGGCTTAATTTATTTTACAGAGCCTGATGTGAACAGATTTTATCCAAAAACATTAATTTAAGACATTTTTTTAAAGCAAATGAACATTACCTTTGGATACAATTCATTCAGAATATTCATTCAACCACAGTACCAGCACACTGATTCTAGCACAATTCGCATATTTTTAAATGCCATTATTTTCTTACATTAAGATCCATGAAGTGATTTCCTAAATTTATTAAACAGTATGTTCTTGATTTGAATTCCATATACATTAAAACAACAATAATACAAAGCAAAACTAACTGTAATGTCATGGTCATGGGGAAAACTGCAAAATAAACTTAGTTGACAATTCAAAACATGGGGTAAATGAAAATCCAAGTGATAAACCTTGAAATATTAAGTTCACCGTGGACATTAAATCATACTTTCGAAAAAGCTGCATATTTATTAGAAATTAACTTCTTTGCTTTTAGAGTTATATTAGAGTTAGGAGAATGACAAGGGATAGGTGTGGATTTATTTATTTATTGATTTGCCTCTATTTCCAGGATTATAAAATATAAAGATTTAAATACCAATTCAATAGAAATTGTGTGTCTCAATTGTTGTCATTATCAGTATAAACTATTTGCCCTTAAATTTAGTTCAGTAATTATGACGGCAGTCTTCATATCTGATAGTGATGCTTGTTCCATATGCTAAATATGGAAATTCCTATTATGAAATATCGCTAAACCAAAGACAATTATTTAATCAACATGCAGCCAATAATGACACATACCCTTCTGCTATTTGCACCAGAGATCAACTGTGGGCTTTGAGAAGGAGAGCCATTTCAGTGCAAGAGAATGATTCGTGTGGCCACTTTGTCTTCATGACTCTGAAGCTGTTTGCTATTGGTTAGCAAAGAACAAAGATATCAATGTCTCCTGACAGAAAAAAAAATAACCATCAGAACTGCAAAGATGATGATGACTGCCAAGATAACAAGCAAAATCCGGTTCTGGATGATTCTAGGAGGAGAAAAAAGAGAAAGGGGTAAAAGACAATAAAAGATGTGTATGTTAACTGATTTTCTATGTATATATCCCACAAAACATAGATAAGTAGCCTTTAAGACTATTTGCTATATTGTTTTTGCTTATTTTTGCTTCCGAGGAATGAGTAGATAATTGCATCTCTTAGTTTTTGAAGTGTTTAAGAATAGGAAATTAATGGAATTTGCTGGTGTTGATGCAAACTAAATTCCACTTTTTTCTCTCCATTACCTTTATTTTCTCTGGAATACTACTTTTTCCTTCTTTTCTGCATTTTATAAAATAATGATTACCCCCAAATGAAACAAAGTGATGCGCGTGCACATACACAGACACTTCTACGTTTTTTTCTTTTGCCTTTGCCACAGTTCTGGATCAATCCTCTTTCCAGATAGACATTTTAAAGAAATAAGTGCAAGGCCCCAAGAATTTTAATTTGGCTATCAGTTCCTTAATGGATTAGCCTATAAAATATATACATGAATTATATAAATCATTGTTTAATTAGTCATCTAAACTTTCTCTGTGTACGTACGACACACAAACACACATGCTCACATACACCCATATACAGATAGTCCTTGACTTACAATAGTTTATTTAGTGACCATTCAAAGTTACAATGACACTGAAAAATGTGGCTTATGACCATTTTTCACATTTACGACCGTTGAAGCGTCCCCATGGTCATATGATCAAAATTCGGATGCGTGGCATCTGACTCATATTGATGACTGTTGACATAACCTGGCGATCACCTTTTGCAACCTTCTGACAAGCAAAGTCAATGGGGAAGCCATATTCACTTAACAACCATGGCAAGAAAGGTCATAAAATGGGGCAAAAGTCACTTTACAAATGTCTCACTTAACAAAAATTTTGGGCTCAATTATGGTTGTAAGTCGAGGACTACTTGTATATATCTATATATCTAAATCCATCCTGTCTATTGGATTGCATAGAAAAATGGATTTTGTCATATTATCTACAAATAATATGCCATAAACCTTTATGCACCTCCTGGAATAATTTTGCCATTTAATCCATAGAAAAGACATTTTGCCATGAAGTAAGCATTACTGGAATGGAAATATGATGCAATTACTGTTATCAAATACCAAATTAGTTTTGAGGAAAAGGATAATTTATTATAAAGAAGCAAGTGTCAAACTGTGGATTTCATGCTCTAAAAGCCATCTTTGTCTCAGTAGCATAAACAGAGTAATAAGGCAAGCTTTATCCTGTTGTATAGTAAGGAGGAGCAATAAAAGATTCAAGAAGCAATAACACTCTGTGTTATTCACCATTTGCAGAGATGAATCTCTTATTTTGTTAGCATACAAGCAATCACTCATCACTATTTAAATGACAATGAGTAGTTTAAGAGCTCTTAAAACAGAATAAGTGTAAATCATATCAAACATAATAATTATGACTGAACAATCAGGACTGTTTGTAGGATATATTTGTAATAATCCAACATAGTGTTTTTATCTATATACCTCAAATAAGGTATTAGTCAGGATGATTTGGGTATATAATCAGAGTCAGTCACAAAAAAAAATAATTAGAAAGTTTTATTGAAGGTTTCAATGAGATTGGGTACAATAAATTTATTAGGCTTAGTTATCAGTTAGTTAAACTATTTGACAAAAAAAAAAGTAAGTTTTTTTTAAGATTGCAATTTGTAAACTCTATAAATTGTAATTTCTTGTACACCACTCTTCCCCAACACACACACACACAAATTAATGGAGATAGGACAAGATGCTTTGGAAAGTAAGAGAAAGTCTTAAATCAATTTCAGATCACTCCCTGTTTTTTTCACAGTGTTCCCTCTTGCTCCAACATTCACCTTAAAAAAAAGAAGTAAATGGATGGATGAAAACTGTCACATCAGACAAACACACTCCCCTGTGACACTTTAAAAGGACCAGCTCTCTATCCTCCTGACAGGTTACAAAATGATCACATTTGCTGACACGTCTTCCGCAAAACTGCTTTAGTGCTTGTGTCCACTTTGCTAGCAGGAGATGAATGGCCTGCTTTGTCCTCATTTATCACTTAAAGCTAAACTAAGATCTGTCTCGTTTATTTTTCCTTTCCTCACTAGAAAGGATAGCACAGCATTAATTCTCCCACGATGACAGCTAATTCAAACTTAACAGGCAATATTTACTCTGCCAAAATGAGCAGAGTTTTCTGTCTTTCTTCGAAGGAAAAAAAACATGTTTAATGGTCTAACAAACTAAAGCTAATTAAAGGGACTTCTGCTTCTTATTAGTTTGCAATGTGGATTAACACCTGAGTTTAAAGCTCTCTCTTTCTCTCTCATTCATTCATTCATTCATTCATTCATTCATTCATTCATTCTCTTTGTTATATTATTTCCCTTTTCATATGTAGTATTCTCTAAAACAACACTTCAGAGACAACTATTTGACCAAAATAACTAACTGCATGAAAAGCAGCCTGAAGATTTGTCTGCTCAATCTCATTGATCATGTGGAGGTGGGGGGGAATACCTTAGGAAAATTGAAACTGTGCAAAAAAGCACATTGAAAAACACGAAAAGTCTTTTAAATTCAGCCTTAAATAAAATAGAGTAATATGCCTCTATACAACTGTGGCTGACAACCGTTGTATGTATGGGATGAGAGCTCCAAGGCATCCATAATGCTAATGTGCAGAGGATTAAGCGTGGATGATATTTCCTCATTTGAGCACATATTTGGACAAATGCATATATCTAAGACGCTAGCGTTCTTAAGCCATTGCTTCATATCTGACCTAGTTATTGGTGTTTCAGTACTCTTAAATTAAACAGGGGGAAGAATAAACGAAATTATCTCTTCACATGTTTCAGTTCTGATTTTCTGGCTGCACACTTGATTGCAAGATTAGTTAATCAGCAAACTTGTCTCTAAAATCCTCCTCATGAGAAGACAAATCTTTGCAGACCCCCACCTATATCTGCTAATTAAATGTTCCATTAAAGTGCAAATGTAGGATGTGTATATCAAAGGTTAACTTTGAGGAATTTGAATTAGCTAGCTCATTGCATCTAAGGATACAACGTTGAACAGAACAAATTAATCATAAAATAGGAAGGATGCTATCAAAACTCCTTTTCTGAATTATCACTATTCTTTATATTTTACTCAATAATAAGATTCTTTTCCATTGTTGCAAAAGTTATGTTGGCTTCATTGCTTCACTACTAGGGAAGCAGAGCAAATAACATCTTGGAAATATTGCTGGAACAGTAAAGCTCCACTTCGGAAGGCAACAGGAGAGAATAGACCATGAAAAACTTTGATTCTGCCAGTAGCACATTTCAGACTGCAAGTCAACAACCCAGAGCACTAAAGAAACGAATTGGGGGCGCTGAGTGGGATTTCAGTAACATTCTGTAATCAAACCAGCTCAGATGGCAGAACAATGGAGTTGGCATTGACAGGGCCCATCTGTAAAGAGGTTTCTAATACTGTCACAGCCAGACACTGCCAGTGGGTATAGCTCCAGGCAACGCAACAAGAAATTTCAAGTGGAGGAGGGAAAGAAAAAAAGTAAGGATCACCATCATCTGCAAAAAAACACATAGCTTATTCAAAAAACAAAAAAACCCAACTTCTATCTGTAATTTTGGATTCCTTTCACCTAAAAAACCTCAGCAAACTCCCTCAGACAGGGAAGCCAGAGCCTCCTTTGAAAATGCAAAGCATGTTTACAGGGTAAATAATTTAAGAAAGAATATATACTTGAAAGGAGACACCACGGAAACATCATGGCTAAATGCCTGAAGGCAAAAACTTGTGCATTTGCATGCCGCATTTTATTAAGTTAGCACACTGTAGCTTTAAAAGAGTGCATGGCCAAATTAAAAGGAATGTGTGACTAAAACTTCAAGGATGCTCCCAGTTTGCATTATGAATCACAGTATTGCTGATATTAAGATGAATTATCTGTTGATTCTGTGCAGCCTACATATTGAATTCACAAAGTTTTTCCTATAGACTCACAAACTGCTGTTATAATAAAGCTGGGCAACGAATTCAGATTTTTTAAAAAAAGTTTTTCAGACACTTGGGTAACAGGACTGTGTACCTATGAGAATTAAATCATACATTAAGCTCTCTGAACAAATGTGTCACCAGAAATTATAGGGGGAAAACTTTTCCAAATAAATTGTACTGGACAAAATCTATTCCAGATTTCCACAATCTAGGAAAGATTGGGCTATTACAATAATTATTGATTTTTATTATTCCAGAAACAGGATTTATAAAGCTTGATTTGAATGAACAAATCTTTAATTAATCATAGATTCATCCAAATAGCACTAAGCAGAACCTGTGTTTTATATATAATTTCTAGATCTACTATTAATAATAACCATTAAATTTTAGGCGATCCTTATTAGAATCCTGCCTACATGCTTTTAGTATAAATTTGTCAGAAACCACCAAACCAAAAAATGGGCAAGATTAGCTTGACTTCTGAATTAACACTAAAAAAGATAACTCCTGATATGCTGTATTAGAGTGCAGATAAACTCTGTACATAAAACATCAACCCTTCAAGGATATAGGAAGATAATTTTCAAAATAAACTCCAGGCCAAGAGATATCAAGCCTATATTTTATAGTTTTGCCAATGTTTTTGCTTTGCATGAATTTAGTGTGACAGAATTACATATTTACAATTTATGTATCCGTTCTGAGATGAATTTTTCAGTTTGGCTATATTTGCAGAAATTTCAAAATACAGTATACTGTTCCTATCATTATATGATATACTAAAGCTATTCTTGTGTTAAACATTCATTAAAATCCTTTAGGAAACAAACAAAGTAGCATTCATTAAGGGGAAGGACACAACATTTAGGATTCCAGGTTAAAATCTTCTACATTATTTTGTGCAATAGAGGTAGTCCTTGATTTATGACCACAATTACATTATTTTGTGCAATAGAG